GTTAATAGGTATGGCACATAGACAAACCAATCATTTAACTGAAATTTCCTTTGCAGGTTTATTGACAGAGATATGTATATGAGGTTTTTAGGTGGTGGGGTTGGGCACACAATTCATTATGCTATGCCGGTAGAGGAAGTCCAGACAGGGATAGGAGAGCCCGAGGAAGACCCATTTGAGTTTGAAAGTGGCTCAGAATCTGACTCTGTGGATAGCAACTTGTCTCTGGAGGGCTCGGACAGAGGGGATAAGGGAGAGGGTGACATCTTAAATGAATAATATAGAGCGTGATGATGAGGGTGAGGGTGAGGGAGAGGGAAATGAAGATGAACAACCACTTGAATAAATAAATAAATAAATATGTAACACTCTCATCCCGGAACCACAATTTAGTCATGTACAGACTGTGGTATTTAGAATTGAGAGAGCGTAAAGAAAATCATTAGTGGAAGCTCTCTGACATACATTAAACAAACAAATAGATATTGCGACTCGTTCCTCAGAGGCAGTCAGGAGTCCAATGATTTCTTGTGCTGTGCGCCTCATGCCCAGTGAAGACTGCCTGAGGTCAAGAGCCTGAATGTCACAAAGGTGTCATGGTAGGATCCTCAAGGATCCTACCATGACACATCCGTGATGCGTGATATTCATCAATGCTACACTGATTTTCTTTGTAGGGTTTTGGAATATCTTCAGATGAAAGTGGTTCATTGACGCTGTAGCCACCCAAATATTTTATGATGCATGATGACATAGCTGTCCATACAAATAAATGATGTGTAATCCTCGAAATCTGTGGAATGGGAGGGATATGGCATACCCGTAAGCGCCGGAGGGCTTCCATCATCGACCGGCATCCAGCCCGTGCAAGGTTGCTATCACTTAGTAAGCTCAGCTGGCCATAATTTTAACTTCCCACCTCTGGTGCTTCTAGTTTCTAATTACTCCTGCGACTCATATATGTGTGCTGAGTCCATAACAATCTGTCATCTACCGTCAAAGCAACTGTGGCACTCAAAGAAGCGTACATTGCAACCTATCAATCCCACACTGTTAGAAGCCGCATCATTTGTGGCTTGCTACTTCAACTCTACAGGGTATTTAAGCTTCCTCAACTTTGCGGGGGAGTGTACACGCCACATACATCATAAGGGGTGGCTATGGACATCAACGACAAATCAGTCCCTGCATGGAAGCAAATCGGCACAACTCAGAAAACACCGTGCCTCGTTCTTGCAGGTTCTTTCCTGATTGATGCCTGTGGGCACATGGTACCTCCAGAAAATGAAAACATTAACAGTGCCATCTCCCATATAATGATGCTCAGAGAGCTTACTTACTGAGTGATAGCGACCCACTTTCTGCTCACAACATTGTAGCCACCCAAAATTTTACAATGTCTACAGAGAGGTCCATAACAATCCATACAAATAAACATCATCTAGCATCAATTTTCAAAGGGAGCTTAAGCACTTGCTTAGCAGCAAGTGAATTAACGCCCACTCGTCCACTGTCCACAAGCGCACGCCTGCGCCTCCTCCCCGCTCCCCCTACTCCTCGCCAGGCGTGCGACGGCGTTAAATATAGGCTATAAAAGCATACATTTTGCAGGACGCAGCACTTCGAAACCATTGGACACCCTGGTCAGAGGCGGTCGGGAGCCGAAGGATACCTCGGTCGCGCAAGTGAAAGTGGCGCTTAACCATTAAACCATGACATCATTAATATATTTCATAAGCTGCACACCCAGGTTCCTTGAGGTAATTCATCTACCGTTTGACTATTTATGCTCAAACGGATCCATGTAAACATCATTTTAACAAACGCTTTCTATGCTGTAATATTGCTTCTGTTACTGAGATAATAGTAGTTAAATATTAAATTCAGCAAGGAGTCAGGACGACATGCACTTGCAACCGACCAAAGATCTGATGAAACACATATCAGAGCAATACAAGTATAGGCTAAATCCACACAGCCTGATGGGCCCAATATATGACTTGTTAAAAGAGAATCATGGCGGCCTTCTTTCCACCAGTCAGATGTAGCCTTGGCAAGTAATACCAGGACGAACAGAGCATGACAGCGGGCTACTAACTTCAACCGAGCTGCTATTAGAAAGACCGTCCTGGTATTTGGGTACTCACACTGGTGCACGCGGGCAGGGTTATATCAGCTCGATATATACTTATAACCGGTTATCAAGATTGTTCAGGCTAGCTAATGCTGGTCACCTATGTCTGCGGTTGCAACAGGTAACCAGAGGTCGGCCGTTTGGCTGATGTCCCTCCTGTGGTATAACAGTTCGAGAAACGGCCCTTATTCATCGTTCAGCAAACTAATCTCAGTCGTTCTCGATAGAAGCTAATCATAATCGGTCTCGAGTTCGATAAGGAAAGCTAAACGGTGTTTAATTTTTTTTTTAAATATGTAATGAATGGCTTTGTATAATAAAAGAAAGACTCGCGCGTAGCAATCCGTTCTTCACAATGGCATGCGTTTGTGCTTGGAGTAGTCGGCGGCGTTTTTGAGGTAAAGGAATATTGGAAGCTACGGTGGTGATAGTTCGAGACCACCCAGATCCGTGAATTAATTGCTCCAAGTTATGTGGTGTGATTCCATCTCCGCGATGTTGTCTACTAAAGCGGTGCACCGGACATCGTAGCATAAGCCGTAATACAATAGACTTTAATACACGAGGCTCCAATTGACGGACATGGCAGTCATCGCCGTATCGTATCAGTTAAGGCTAGTTGTGGATATGGAAATAATAAGAATGGATCACTATTCGAAAGCAAGCACAACAAACTTTTTTTTGTGATTCTGCCGGAAAGCTCACGAAGGAAAAAAAAAAAGACCTCAGGATTGAGCATAGTACTAATATATACCAAGAGGCTATCCAAGTCGAGTGATATTCCCCTATTATCTGGGACGGGAACAAGAGAGTAACAAGAAGGAAGAAGAAAAATCTCTCAGGCGGACATTGAACCCCAGTCTCGCGCGATCTAGAGTTAAACCCTTATGACAGGCGCGAATACTAACCACTATACTACCTAAGATATGTGCAAAACCCGTTAATGTGATTGATGGTGGGATGTGTAGCGAAAGGGTGAGAAACGATTCTGCAAAGGGTCAGCTACTTTATGTGTTTGGACGATGGATGGCACCTACATCGCCAGTGCTTGATCGAGTCCGCGTCCTAGTAAATTATTTAAATCAAATATGCCCGCACCATGACATACCTAGTTTTCCGCCCTCAACATGGCCCGCCATCTTTCCATAGTTGATTATCATTTGTTGAATATATCATTCACTAATGGGCTTTTGGAGTTCAATATCGTTGTGATAATGATATACTTTTTCGGATCACCTGGCAGCCTGATAGCAAAAATCAAAGTACATATGTGTATAATTCATACCTTCAATTCCGGTGCATAGGGAGTATTCCTCTCGTGTCTTTGCTAAGAGTATCGTCTTTGAGGCGAGTGCGGGTAAATTTGAACGAAGGGACGACTCCACTTGCGGTGGCAGTTTGCGAAGAAAGAATGGTCGGGATTGAGGTGTTGAGCCCTGCTTCACGTAGGACACATAGCTGCTCAAGGGAATTTTTTTGAATACATTTTACGGTAGATCCTGGCTGAGAGATGTACCCTCTGTACAGCTCAGTTCCTTCGTGTGTCGGACATACGGTTCAAGTCAAGTTAAAGTGCTAACACATCGCCAACTTAAGGTCACCGCCAATGCACGTCGCTTGCACAATGCATATTTGTAGACTGGAAACCTGATAGAGCATTAGACCTACGTTTGTTAAACAATAAAGTTTACCGTCGTCATCTCGTTGGTCTAAGTACGTAGATCGCCGTGTCAGGACAGAAGGCCCATCCGAGCCGAGACTCAATATTTAATTAATAGATGAGCTAATAAATAGACAATACTTATGGAGAATAGAATACCTACTAATCTGTGACGTTCTGAGTGGCGGTGATGCGGGGATTAATTGTCGAAGCTGGTCGAGGTTGAAGGCGACGCGCGTCGTCGATGCCGAGCATACCGGGGGTATCGCCGCATAGATAGATAGAAAATGTTAGAAAAGTAGCTACGTACCTACAATTCGTAAATAAATATTCAGAGGTTACTTGCAAAGATATCCTTCACCCACCGATAATACCAAGCGATGCGGTGAGACAGGGGAACTGCTAAACTAACGGTATTATAATACTAAGGAGGATCTAGCATGAAAAGCGCGTTGGTCTCGAAAGGACGGTTGAACCGTCAGTACTTAGTTTAAATTTAGGCGTGGTCATTCTGTAATTGTAACGTCATCACGCTGATTTAGAACAAAACTAGCGAGTATCTGAAAAGGAATTACCTCCTTATTGGGTGATTTAGTAAATGATGTTTGACCAAGCTCTCGATTATTCCTTGGGTACATAAGGGTATAATTTACAAGAAAAATAAATGAGCCCCGAATAATTTAAATGTACCTTTGGGGAGGTTGACCCACGGCGAAGAGAAGAGAAGAAGTTCTGGTTTAACAAATGATGTGTGTTCGACGAGATACGAGGTGGGCTCCAAACCATGTGGAATCCTCGTGAACTCCGATTAGAAGGATACTTTTAGGGAAGCGAATATAGAATTTATTGAGGATGGTCGATGACAAGGATCATGCGGATAGGAAGGGTCTATCACCAAGTAGTTCGATTTAATGTTCTCTAGATCAGGCTTCTTCAGCACGCCGATAGACTAAGCATTCTCTCAGGCATCATTCCAACTAGAAACACATTATAGCGAGGGAAATAAACTTCCTTAGCCCTCAAGGTATTCCAGCGTGTGAGATTAATCCGCTGCGCATAAGTAGGCACGAGATCCAGTCCTTTTTGTTTCTTTCTGGAGGTGTCAATGTCATTTAAGGAATTGGAAGCTTCCACTTCCCCGCTGGCTCATCAGAATTTCACATTGCCAATCCCTACACGGAAATATAGGTGGGAGGGAACCTTCGAATCGAGTGTTCATGATGGGTACGCGTGAATTCTGACCTGAAAATCGATTCGCGTTGTATCATAAAAGCATAATGCCGTCAATGCTTTTGATCAGGAGATGAAGAAATCTGACCAGAGCCTGCGGGCTGAGGCTGCTACTTAGCTACAAGATGGGACCTTTCAACTTAAACAAGTGAGAGACTACGCACATGCCTTGTGATATAATGTATAACCTATTTATGAAGGCTTGCGTGTTGGATCGGTGAGAACTCTAATCCAAATCACAAAAAATCCCAAAATAAAAATAAAATAAAAAACACAGAACCTTGCGGGTCGTCTTATGAGGAAACGCACTAATAAAGGTACTAAACAAAGGCAAAAATTCTCTCAGGCAGGGAATTGAACCCCGGCCTCGCGCGATCTAGAGTTTAACACTAGATGACAGGCGCGAATACTAACCACTATACTACCTAAGATATCTTTCATAACCCAGAATAGGCTACATGGCGGATTGTGATTTTTGGGGATCGACTTCGGGCGAGACTTCTAGGACGGAGAGCGAAAGACATGGGATTCGAGGCGAATTAGTATGACTGAGTATGACGTAGTATAAGAGCGCTCTCTTCGTCTTTGACGTATCTCTTAGACTGGAACAGTTTCAAACCATCAGCTTCAGTCGACGTCTTGGCAATAACTCCTGCATTATATAAATAAAATTGACCAAGTTCCCAATATACATATCGCCGGACTAGCTATCCACGAAAAATAAACATATCTACATTTTCACAGCCACGCCCCCGATACACGATTCCGAATGCGCAATCGGTACGATGTACTCCCGCGGGATCAAACACGATCAGACTCCGCAGTCGAGAGAGGAGAAGAGAAAAGATTGCCGAGAAAAAAGTGCGAAGGTGGGCAAAGGGAGCATGTGTCCCTAAACTCAAGTGGCGTGAGAATGGTTATTCTTGGTTACGATGCGGGTCGGGACAAGGGTTGCGAACTGGCTGATTGTGCACTCCAGATGTCTTTCCATTTGGGGAGTCGGAACCTTTGAATGCCTGGGAGGATCCCTGAGAACCCCGAACGAGCGAGAGAAAGAATAGAATAAGTATAAAGTAAGGCAACGTCCATAATAAGCCAACTTGGAATCTGGATGTATAATGTGGCAAGATCGAACGGTAGTTTACAGTTGGTACAAAAACAAATGGTCATGGGGCGAGGGGGAAGGGAATAATAGGGATTGAGGGCATATTGTAGGGTAGGTGCGAATCTTGAGCTGGTATCGTGTGTGTGGATATGGACGGAGGGACCTGCAGACTGACAATCTTAGGATGATCGTGTGAGAGGACGAGAGACGTACGAATCAAAATTCGAGCGCGTGGTGTGTGGTATTGATCGTGACATATCGCTGTGCGCGCTGCTCGGTGTTGTACATATTTCCGAGGAGGTAGAAGTGGAGTCGTTTGCCTATGAACGCGGCTTGGTTCTGCATGAAGTGGCGGAGGCCTGCGACGAAGATGAGCGTGAAGAGTGCGGCTATCATCACTAAACAGCATTATTAGCACACACACGAAGAGGAAAAGTAGATAACACAACACACTTAGGATGACAAACTCCCAAGTCTCGAGGAAACATGTCGCGAACGTTCCTCCGACCCACATTCGCCAACGCCAGGCCCAGCGACGCAGCGGAGTCTTCGGTGGCCTGAGCGCGGCGTAGTCAGGCTTCGAGACGTGCAGTCGTGAGGCGGAGGTCTTGTGGTAGAGCGTCATTGCAGATAGTGAACGGGGCAAAGAGAGGAGGCATGTTCAAGCAGCCTTTTTAAGGGAAGAGGACACCGTATTCGGAGGGGATGACTGTTCCGGTGTGTACCATTATGTTCATCTTCAGAAAAGGCGCCGCGTCTCATTGGGCGGGACGACTGATGACCCTTACGCATCTTCGCTGCGGAAACATTCCCACGCCGGAGTTGCTTGTGGATGACGACTTGGACGACTTTGGGACCTCCTACCCGTCTGGTGCTCCCGACTGCCCACGAATAAAGCAGTGATGATTAATGATTGCTCCCGCTACTGAACCCTGGCGGCGCTCGTCATCAACCCGGACATGAATCGGTCAGCTCTCGGCGCGCTAGCGGAAGTAAATCCTCCGAACTGTCATCTTCGTCATTCGGTCCCGCTGCATACATCTTCTCAAGACAAAACGTCAAGGCACTCAATAACGTATGCTTTATAAGGCGCAAGATATTCAAATATCCGTAAGCACCCTTCGCACGTCTTCCAACTCTAACAGTGCTAATTGATACATATCAGTACTGAATGATTAACAGCACCCGAGTGTTCACTGCTTACTTATCCTTGCAATGCAACGCCCGTCATCTCTAAATCATTCGGCCAATCAGCGTAACACGTCAAGTAATTGTGGCTTGATTGGGACGGGGCGGTGACACATCCGCCACTCGGAATGGGCCTGCAGGGTTCAGATTTAATCTTATTTCTTTTTTATTCTACCGTCATTCTATAATTAATATTCTATTTTAATCCCAAGATAATTATTTTCGGAATTGAAATCTATTCTCGTTATCCTCTTTCCCTCCTCCCTTCAACCTTGTCCGTTTCATACTCCACTGAATACAAGGTGCGGTCACATCCTTCCTTGCAAGCAATCAGTCATCACTTCGACTCACAGATCTACGCAGATCCACTCCAATACCGCCTCGCCAAACACCCCTAAAATCCCTACATCCTCCTAACTCCCGTACTATTTTCGGACCGGTCCAGTGACATACCAACCAGCGGTATCGCACCAAGGTCTGTGACAATTTGTAATTATCTAGATATGTGAAAAGGAAATCAACGGCATCACTCTGAGAGATATTGAATCACCACGTACGTCCCGATTTCATTCTGATTCCCATCATTGTACTAACGGTTTACATCTCGTAGTTTCAGGCAATGACTCCATAAAGACAAGAACAAAGCATTCACCGGATTAGATCATTTCGACTATCTCACTATTTAAATAGCACCATAACGACTAAGGAACTAAACATTAATTATAAGGTGAGTGTAAAGTTATGCATAACTGGCGTTAGAGGCAGGTTCGCATTTTTTTATCTTCGCTCGAGTTGCATGCTTACTCCCTTCCATTTCCCGATCGTTGCTGAATTAAAGGAATGACCGAAGAAAATCGCCACGTAGTGTCTCAGAATGATGTCAAGGAATCACCCCGACTTCAACGTATGATAATTCCTCCGATGCGTTTGTATGTAACCCAGGATATTTATTTTGATAACATCGATGTCCTTTTAGCCTTTACACTACCCGGAATATTAATGTAATGCAACTTAGTAGTCAATCCATCACGCGATGGAGACTCGAAGGCTTCCATGCCATTTTCTAGATGAGAGCCGTCGAGAAAGAATGTTGCAAACTCACGAATCCGATATATGTCTAAACACATACTCCACGAGGTTAAATGGCTTTCCAGATTTTGAGTCGCATCCCAAAAATGAAAAACCAACTCATCCCTCAAAATCACATACGAATCAGGCCCTTTGATAAAACCCACTACACCATCCCCATCCTCTTCGGCAGCATCCATGTCCTCTGGCTGATTCCTTCATGATTATACGTAACATTCCTTCGAATTCTCAATTCGCTCGAACTAGAACTCGGACCCAACCAAACATCATGATGATAGATGCGTTGTCCTAAAAGCACAAACGCTATTTTCTTCATGCTTAATTGCTTCCCCTCCACCATCAGTCACATTAGTTACAAGGCTACGCATCTTGGGTAGTATAGTGGTTAGTATTCGCGCCTGTCATGAAGATTTAACTCTAGGCCGCGCGAGACCGGGGTTCAATTCTCCGCCTGAGAGACCTTTTTTAGCCTGATTGCTTTCTTATCATGCCCAGACAACGTAGGATATCTGGGAGAGAATACTCATGTGCTATAACCAGACAAATATAAATTTAAAAGCAACGCTTCACGAAGAGATCTCTCGATTTCCTTTCCATATTTACTATTAGCTCAATCTTGTCAATGAGGCCTTTTTTCTTTCTTTCTTTTCTTTACTCAGGATCTTTTTCCATTTCTCGTTGTTCTCCGAATACGTAGACAGCTTAAGAAAGAAAAAAAAGGAAGCGCCAGTCAATATCAAAGACCGGTCACGGCGCTTGCTGTTCCGAATTGATGTATTCTAATTGTTTTCTTGTTCACAGAGCATCTTGGCATTCTGATAATGATTTGGTAAGTGTCCGTAAATTAGCGTTATGCTTATGATACAATGCCCGTTACACCTTTAGTAGGTAATAATGCGGAGATGAAACGAGACCCAACATAATTGAAGATATCAATGCACGCATCTCAACCATGCCTCCGATTATACCAACCACAAACGCCTTTGAAGAGCAGAATACAGGTTCGTATTCCGTTGATTATGCAATGCTATCACTTATTTTCATAAAGCCTCTTAGCTCTACTTACCAAACGAGAACGATTATGCGTACCGTCCATTAAGTGAAATTAGACGGCTAAAGGAGGAACAAGCACCATTCGCAAACTAGAACCCCTCAAAGTACGGACTAGTCACTCCGAGGAAGATGGAGGAGATTCAAAGCCACTGAAACGCGCCCGCCTGAACAAAGGAATCGACAACAGCTCGAACCCGGGTTCAATCACATCATATACCAAAAGCCTATACTTTTTTATTAGTTAATCCGATGGTTGTATCGGTCGTAGAAGGCACCGCGTTTCGTGTTCATCGTCATTCATTGACCAAGGCGTCACCGTTTTTCGCGGATATGTTCTCCCTCACGCCGCGAGGGGGTCTTAGTCGAAATGAAACCTTCCAGGGATACACGTGAGTTGGTGGCTCGCGGACTGTCGTGCTAATCCTGACTGAAGACCCAACAGGATCTTACTAGACATTGGCAACTTCGATGAAGATAAGATTCCCAATTTGTGTGACGTCCTCCGCACTGCGTACAAATATCATTTCGAGAACGTTAAGAAAGAGCGCCATCAATTCCTTCTTAGTGCACTCCCAGATAACCTCGACGATTGGCAAGAGTCACCCTGCACTGCTTACGCCGTTAAATTTCTGGAACCTCTTTTGGAGTATAATCTAGTTTATTACTTTCCTGGAGTCTTATATTCATTATGCTCATTTTCAACCGAGGATATCTTCTCGAAATTATAGAATAATCCTGACCTCCTAGCGAAAGTATTGGAGGGCAGGGACCAGCTTTCGGGAGTATTCCAGAACTACATTTGTGTAGCTTACCATGAGCCAATTTACGACCCGTCATGCCGTTACAGACATTGTATGTGTCCTGCCAGCTATAGTCTGTCCATTTTGTGGCCGGACACCAGAAGAAATCCTTTTGAGGGGGTTCATCTTGTGACAGTTCGTAGGGAACAATGTCACCCCAGAAGATGGTACTCAGGTTGTATAGAAATAATGGATA